AAGAGCATCATCCCTGCTCTGCCAGGGCCGATGACCCCTGAGTGCCGTGCCCGGTGCTGACTCCTGCTGACTCGCAGCCAGCCCTGCCGGTGCCCGAGGCTTTCCTGCTGCAGGATCCATAGGATCCATAGCGCCGTGCAGGGCTGGATGCAGCGTCAGCACACGAGGCCCGGCGCCACATCCGCCCTGAAATTTATGGCTGCGCTCATCAGATTTCATTCCCAGCAGGACACGGCACAGCAGCGAGGGCTGGGATCTGCCAGGGCTGGCCCCAGGGGCTGCAGGGGGAATGCAGATGCTCCCCCCTCCCAGCAGTGCCCACGCAAGGGTTCTCCAGCTGGGAATGACCAGAGCGAGATCTGGGTCACTCCTGGGGGAACGAGGCCAGTCCCTGCTCTCCAGCCTGGCTGTGGCAGAGAAACAGGGGCAGTACCTGGTGCAGCTCCCAGGGCAGGACTCAGCTGGGACATGGGCAGGGATGGGGTGTCTGTGACCTGCTCAACTCCACCCCTGCAGCTCCCCTGGGGTGCTGCCTGCCCCAGCAGCACCCCAGACCCAGCGCCTGCAGCCTGGAAAGGGGACAGGCTCCTGTGCAGCCAGTTGGCTGCAAACATCGAGGCTAAGCCCTGAGTGACATGGGGACAGAGAGCCCTGGGAGGGAGGGGACGATAAAGGGGGCCTGTGGTATCCCACAGGGTGGGGACAGTGACACCGCCACCACCAGGTGCTTTTCGGATCACCTCACCTCTCCCCTTGGGCTGCTGCTCTTTGCTCTCAAACCTTCTTCCCGAGGTGCTGCCGAGTCCAGCCCTGCGGCCGAGCTGGAGGCATGTCCAGGCTGCTCCGCTGGCCACTCCGCTCCGCCTGCAAGCAGGGCAGGAAAGGGGCCAGGCTCTGCAGCCAGGGAAAACAGCCTTTCCCGAGCCGCAGACACGGCTGCTTCAAGCCACAGGTCTCACTGCAAGGTGTGAACCCGCAGCACCCTGAAGCTCTCTGGGGGCAGGGGGTGCCCTCAGGTATGGCCAAGCCCTGGAGACGCTCCTTGCTGTGCTGGCAGCCGAGGTGAGCACCCTCCATCCACCCCCAGAGCAGGGGGGGCTCCCACGGGGCTCAGGGAGACAGGGGTGGAGACGAGTCACAGCACCCAAGGAAGGAAGAAGTGTCCTGAGCCGGTGCCACAGCCTTGCTGCCCCATCACAGCTTTAGATGCTTCCAAGAAAACCTCTCAGGGGTGGGAGAGAAGAGCCAGGAGCTGGTCTGTCCCAGTAGGCCTGGCTGGGGGGGTGTCCCTGCATGGAGTCATTGTCTGAGCACTGCTCACACAATGTGTGCCTGCAATCGGGTGACCTGGCTTTGTTCTGTGCCCTCAGGGTGCCCCCAGGGCTCTACAGGGGGATGAGATCCCACCAGGAGCAGTCCTGTCGCCCCAGCCGGGGAGACCACGACCTGGCAGGGCTGCACCGCAGCCAGAGGGTCCTCACGGGCAGCCAGCACGCGGTGAGCATGTGCCCTGGGAGCACCCACGTGTGTGGGTCCAAACTCTGCCACTGCCCAGCACTGGGGGACAGCAGAAGTGGGGGAAGAAGCCCCTAAAGCCCCTGGGACCAACCATCCAGGCTGTGTCCTTCGGCGCCGCGCAGGCTCCCAAACGCTCCGTCACGCTGCACCCTGCACCCAGGGAGGTAAAATTACAGCAGCCTCTAAAGCAGACCTCGCTAGGTTTTGTATCCTCCTTTCCCAGGCTCTCTCCTCCTCAGGGGTAAGGCAGCCCATCAGGAGCTCCAGGACAGCGTGAGCAGCACTTCAAAGAAGTGATGCGTTCCCGTTCGAGATCGATACCGACCCAAAGCTGCTGACACACGCTGCTGGCTGCGGGGCAGGACGCAGGGACACTTCCCCCCCCCCGGTCCGTGCAGCACTGCCAGCCCGGTGCCCGCTCCCCCAGCCGCCAGCCACCACCCCAAGGACAGCCACAAGCCACCACAGCCACCCACCACCACCTCCCCGGCGAGGCGCAGCCCCCGTGCCCGCGGCAGCCCCCTCCTCTCCCCGGCATGCAAACAGCGGCCAGCGAGCGGGATGCACGGCTGGCTTTAGGAGAAGATGCAGCCGCAGCATAACCCCCCACCCTGCCCAAAAAGCAGGTCACCCTGGCTGGTGGCTCTCCGCAGGGTGCATGCTGGACCACCTCCGTGCCCATCCCTGCGGCTCAGCGCTGGCTCCCCGCGCCGGCACGGGCTGGCGTGTGGGGAGGGGGGCTCCTGGCCAGGCAGGGGGTGCCTCCCCAGCTGGCTGCATGCAAGGGCATCCGGTCAGACACTTACCCAGCGAGAGCAGCAAGGTGAGGCCAGTGAGGAACAAGGTGGGCTGCGGGAGCCAGGCTTCCGGGCTCATTTTTGGAGGATTTTTTGTGTGTGGAGAGGACGTGGTGGTGGCGTGGGTTTTGGAGGTGGTGGTGGAGGGTCTTTTTTTTTCGAACGCCCAGGTTATTTGCAGGTGACATATAACATTAGAGCCGCTTTATTTCCACAGCCCAATATGGCTGGAGCGGAGCTGGGGCGAAAAAAAGCAGTAAATGCTGTGGTTGGTGGATTGCAGCCGGCGGAGTGGGAGGGCGGAAAAATTTTCTCCTGAACTGCAGGCGACAGCTCCTGGCAACTCCAGCTCCGTGCTCTCCTGGCGGGCAGTGTCACACGGTGGGTTCCCCCGGCCCCTGCAGCCCCCCTGGTTTCAGTGGGGCCGTGCAGATGTGTCCCCTTGGCTCTGCTGGAGGCTGGCGACCGGCCCCGCTCGCACCATCCACGGCAACAGTTCCCGTTCAGCTGGGCCTGGGAACATTGGAAATGCCCTCCTGGAGGGGGCTGATCCAGGCTGGGAAGAGCAGAGGGTCCCAAGGAGGCAGCCTGCACAGCGGCCTGGTCAGCGTGCCCAGGAGGTGGCACTGCCACGGGCAGGTGACCTGCAGCAGGTAAAAGCTCTCCTGCTCACCTCCCTTCTCCCAGGCCACTGCAAGAGCAGCTCCCTCGCTTCCCAGGGGTGCCAAGCTCTGCCATCCCCCAGCAGCATGCTCTCCCAAAGCAACAGCCCTGCTCACCCAGCCCGTGGGACAAGGAAGCTCTGCTCAGCAGTGACAGAGCTACAGAAAGTCTTTGATCCCATTGGCACCATCGGACAAGGAAGTCTTTGGGCCCTGGACTCCAAGGCTGGACTCAGGCTGCAGAGGTGGGAGCAGGAAGGGGTTGACATGGCCTCATGGGGACCAAAGGCAGAGACAGCAGCTGCTCAGCGCCCTGGTTCTCATCCCCTGGGACACAGGGAGGGGGAGTTTGCTGAGACAGCATCAGTGGGGAGAAAGGCAAGGGATGCCCTGGAGCCAGGGCACATCTTGCTTCCTACACACCTGGGGAGGAAGGGATGGGGCAACAGGGACACAGAGGGGCTCTGCTACCTGACCAGCCTCAGGAGGGGAAACAGGACAGCTGGGAGAGAAGGCAGCAGAGTGGCAGGGCAAACACAGCAACCCTGCTCAGCAAACACCCTCACTGCACACACAGCAGTTCCCCTGCACGCTGGGCAGGCAGAGCCCACTCTGCTCTGCCACAACAGCTCCCACAACCCCACGATGGCAGCAGAGGTCACATGTGACCCTCCAACACCCCAAAACCAGCTCGGGCTGCTGGTTCCTGCTGTGATCCCATCCCTCTGCCTCCCTCCAGGAAAAGAGAGCAGGGTGTCAACGTGAACCAAGGAGGAGCAGCAGCGCTGCAGTCTCAGCAGTGGTGGGAGGTGGAGGGTCCCTGCGCTCCCTCCGCACCTGGAGGTGTCAAACATCTATATATAGAGCAGGAGCAGCGCCAGCACCCTCTCAGATGCTGCCCTGGAGGCCTGGGGGGGTGTGCTGGACTGCCTGTCCTGGGTATAGGGTGGGTGCTCACCCATGGGCAGGGGCTGGGAGACATGAGCACACACACACTGCCTGCAGGGTCTGTCCTGCTCCCCTCCATCCCTGTCCTGCTGCAAAGGGACCCCCCCTCTGTGGCCCATTTGGCTTTACTGCTCCCTGGGGCCAGCCGGGCAGGCGCCCTGTGTGAGGCTGCATGTGGGTGCAGGGGCTCCCAGGCCCTGGGCCGGGCAGCTTTTGGACATCACATGCTTAAGCAAGAGGTAAAACAAAGACAGGAACTGGGAAGAGTCCCTGAGTTTTATTATCTCCAGAATAATACCATAATGGCCCCCGCTGCATATCCCCCCTTGGAGATCCTTGTCTCAGGACCAGGCTTAAAGCTAGAGCATGGAGGCTGTGCCCACTGTCCCCCCCTCCAGAGACCAGGGGGCAAGAGGGACAGGTCTCCCCTCGTCCTCTGCAGACAGCTGGGGTGGGCCATGCCCCAGCAGTGCCCTGGCATGGAGCACACAGTGAAGTGTCACCAGTTCTGGCCACCCAAAGGGACAAAGGTGTCTTGGACACACCTGGCTAAAAGGCTTCATCTTCCAGCACAGCTATTTCTCCTGCTCTGGAGCCCGGGGAAGTGGTTGCTCTGGTCTGCTGTGAGGCTCCTGGCTTTGTCCATCACCTTGTCTCTCCTCTCCCATCCATTCTGCTGGGATCATCCTCTTGGACAGCTCCACGTAGACTCCGTTCTCCCGGCAGTGGGAGGGGTGCTGCCGGAGCAAGGGACAGGGTGTGAGTGTCACCACAGGTACTAGGGGCTGTTTGGAGGGGGAAGGGGGCAAGGGATGCTGCTGCCTGGCACAGGGAGTGAGGGGTCAGGCCTGGATGCCACGACCCTGGCCAGGGGGCAGTGATGTGGGGGATCACACCAGCCTGCTCCTCACCATGGTTATGTAGGTGTCCTCAGCTCTCCTCTTCTTCTTGGCATCCTGTTCAGCCTTGGGTATCTCAGCCCCAGGGATTGAGCAGTAAAGCGCTTCCTGCAAGGGGGAATTGGGATGTTTGGAACCGGGCAGTCCCCAAACACACAAGGGCTGCCTGACCCCACTCACAGGGCAGGCACCAAGAGCCACGGCTGTGTCTGGGCAGGGAATGGCACCTCGTGCCTGGCCAGTGCAGGATCCCCTCCCTTGGCCTCCCCACACACCCAACCTCAGTGTTCCCTCCAGCCCCAGCTCTCACCTCTGCTTTGCTCTTGCTGTTTCCGATCCTCTCCAGGGCTGTGTTGCCTGCAAACCTTGTGGGAAGGCAACAGCAGTGTCATCTCCAGTGAGAAGCATCGCCTGCCACTCCTGGCCCTCCCTCCCCCTCCCAGGACACTGGAATCCCTTTGCACGTGCCTCAGCCAGGCCATCCTTGCTGCTGGCCCAGCCCAGAAGGCTTGGGAGCCAAGGGGGGACTGGCCAGGGCAGAGTAACACTAGATGGCAGCAGGAGCCTGCACCCCACACCGGGGGAGTTGAACCCTCATATCTGGGAACCTGCCCTGCACGGGGCAGCTCAGGGTGATGCCTGGCTGGGGACACCAGCACAGGGAGGTGCAGGGAGGTGCTTTGCTCAGCCCCATAACCCCAGAGCCAGCACTGGTACCTCTTCCTCACGCAGAGTCCGGCCAGGAACGCCACCACCATGGCCACACAGCCACAGCCCACCACCGCCGGCCAAAACCCGGAGTCCCTCAGGGGTGCAGCCTCCTGGGCACCTGCTGCCCCTCGTCCTTCTGGGGAGACACCAAGGCAGGGATGGCACCACGGGGACCCCGGCCCTGCTGCAGGAGGGCCGTGGCAGCAGGTCTGAGAGCCTTCAGGATCTGTGAAGCCCCTCAGCACGAGGGAGCAGGGCAGCAGTGGCAGGGACAGCACGCACCTCTCTGTGCCGGGGGACTGACGTGCAGCACCGTGCGGTTCTTGAAGATGCTGCTGTTGAGCTGCAGCCGGATCTCACACTCGTAGGTGCCGCTGTCGTTCACGTGCAGGTCCCGCAGCCGGATGGAGCCGTCCCGGCGGGAGAGGTTCCCTTCCCACTGTGCCCGGTGCTTGAAGCGGCCCGCAGGGACCCCACGGTTACTGTAGTAAAAAAACACCATCTCCTCCTGCCAGGGCACAGACAGCATCAGGTCAAGGGAGCCCAGTGGAAGGGCACTGCCCCGTGAGCCTTCCCTGCTCAAGAGCCCTTAGGTCCTGCTCTCTCCCTCTCCCCACGGAGCAATTGCCGCTCACAGAGCCAGCTCAAACCCAGAGCGGTGCTTCCCCTGCAGCCTGGGGCCACGGGGTGTCCCACCACCACACCGGCAACCTTCCTCCCCTCGTGGAACCTTCCTCCTCTCGTGGTCTGGGCCAGGCAGACAGGCTTCCCCACATCCTCCCCAGAGCTGCCTCACCCACATTCCCCGCCACAGCCCCCGTGTCCCGCTCCACCACCCACCCCCAATCCCGACCCACCTGAGTGCCAGCCCCTGCCTTGTGTATCCAGTCCACCTTGCTCACGGTCCAGCCCTTGTTCTCCAGGTCTAGGAAGTGGCACTGCAGCAGCACAGAGTCCCCAGCACTAGCTCGAAGCTGAGGCTCTGTGAACACCCAGCCAGACCCTCCGCTCTGCTCTGCCGGGGACAAGGACAGCAGGATGAGTGCGGGGAGCAGTGCCAGGTGCAGCCTGCCCGTCCCCATCGGTGTCTCCTCTCCAGGTGGGCCTGGGGCTCACGGCACCGGCCAGTCCAGAGGCAAAGCCTCTCCCTGAGCCCTGCTCCTGGCGTGCCCGGGATGTGGGGCAGCACATCCTCCCGCCGCCAGACCAGGGGCTGCCGCGCTCGCCGGACAAGCCGCGCACAAGGGAAGTCGGGAGGCACAACCCCAGCCCTCCAACGCCTCGGAGCCAGAGCCTGCAGCTCCTGCAGGGCTGTTCCTGTGAGTCACTGGCTGGGAGAACCTGTGCAGCCCTCGTCTCTGCCAGGCCAGGGGCAATTCGGCCGCTTCACACGGATTTCAGTTCCTCCTTCACAACCTGCCCATTTGGCTGCCTTCCCCTTTGCTCACAGGCTCCAGACCTGCGCTTGTACTTGTCTGGCCACATAACTACAGTTTGGGGTTTCTAGAGAAGCTGGACAGTGGGGAAAAAAAACCCAAAAGAGAGGAAGATCAAAGAGCACAGAGCTGACACAACCAGCACGAAGCAGCTGCTGGCACGCTGGGCTGCAGAGCGCACAGCAGGAAGGGGATTAAAGGTCTCTTCCAAACTAAACGATTCTGTGAAAAAAGTGGGCCAAAAAATGCCCCTGGAGCTCGTTGAGAGACAGCCTGCATGCTCCAGAGCCTGCACTGGCGCTAGAAGGAGAGGCTGAGGCTCTGGCAGTTCTCTGTTGAGAGCTAAGGGAGCTGATTCAGCGGGAAGCTGCTCTGACAGGTCGGCTTGTCCTAGTGTCTGAGCCACTCTGCTCAGCCTGTCCATGAGCCACAGAGGGCTGGGCCCTGGCCAAGCACCAAGTGCTTGTCTGATGTCCTCTAAACAATAAATGCAAAGTGCTTCCCAAACAGGTTCTTTTGGTCCTGACCAGCTGCAGAGCTGTAACGACAAATACTCGCCAGCAGAGAAGACCAGGGGCTGAGCTGCCTCGAGCAGAGCCAAAATCAATACCTTGGAACCCTTTCCCTGTATTTAGACTTGGTGAAGCTGTTCTACTTCTTTCAAGGCCTTGGAGCCTGGCTAAGTACAGGACACATCCAGGGATGCCATTGCAGTTCGAAGCCTATAAAATGTGAGGTCTGCAGGAAGGGAAGATGCAGCACCCAGAGACCAGAGGATTCACTGGTACTCAGGTCTTACAGCAAAGGCAGAGGGGAAAGAAGGCAAGGCAAATAAAACTTATAGCTTACCCAGCCATGTCAGCACCAGAGTCAGGCTCAGCAACACCTTCATCTTACTCTGAAAAGAAAAGCAGATGTGACACAGGCATCAGGCTCCCCTGGGGCAGGACACCAACAACTTGCCACCAGCTCAAGGTTAGAGAAAGGCTCTGCTGCCTGATGTGCAGCCTTTCAAGTTGGGAGCCTGAAACTCAGCCAAGTACAGATGGCAGACAGCAGGTCTCTGGTTTTTGAGGCTGCTCTGAGCCCTGGACAGGAAGAGCGAGCGGGGGGAAAAGGGCTCAGCCTGAACCCCTTTGTGTTTCCCCCTAAGTCATGAATCTTTCCGGTGGTTTGGGGTCGAGCCTCTGACATCTGAGCAGAGATGTTCACAGGAGTCAGCTCTGCTCACAGAGCAGTGGGATGTTTTGAATACTACAGAATCAGACAAGTTTGGTTCTAAAAATGCAGACCCCCCTCCTCCAGGACTAACCCCCCTGTCCCAGGGTGCTGCACAGGGAGAGAGGTTCTGCTGGAGCCTCTTGGGCTTGTTCAGACAGTGCCATGTTTGGTCACTGGATTCAGCCTGACCTGCTGCACATCTCTCAAAATAAAGCTGACATTTCCTTTCTACACCTCGTGGATATATCCTGCAGCCCAAGGAAGGATTGGTTGCCATCACCAGGGGTGTGCCAACTGGTGTTAAAAGGAAGGCAAAGTCAGTACCCTGCTTGCTGTGTCCCTGTTCCATAATTCCCAGCTATGGCCATTCAAAAATGCTAAACACAGTTAAGGGCACAAAGTTACTGAGAGAGAAGCTCTCCTGCCTGGAGAATCTGCACGTGGCAGTTGGATTTGAGGCTGCCATTACCAGCATGTGTTTTCCAGCACAGGCATTTTTGCTGCAGAAACAGAAAGACAAGAACTGAATCATCTGTGACATCTCGGTGGCTTCATCGTGCAAGGGAGAGGATCTTTACACCAACCTCAGGCAGGGATTACAGGCCCAGAATTAGCTACTGGGTACCTATGGGTCTGTTCCAGGCTGAGGGAGTCACTACAGCTTTGCAGTCAGAGATGTAAAACACTCTGCCCCTGATCACCCTCCCTTTTCCACAAACAAAAATCCTGCAAAGGGGCAGCACACCTTCTGGAATTGTCTCAAATCCCTTTCAAAGCACAGGGCCCCCCCAGGGGTCGGGTTTCTGGTGGTGGAGGGGCGAGCTGTGGTTTGGCTGCGCTGCTGCAGCTCTGCTGTGACACAGTTTGCTGCACGCACGACCTACAAACACAGCACTGCTCCTGCTCAGCTCCAGAGCTCAGCTGGGGCAGCACAGCTCCCTGCAGGAGGCCACAGCATCCCACTTTCCAGAGACACTGCCAAAAGCACAGGCAGAGCTGCACCCTCCCAGGAGCACCCCCACACAGGAGCCAAGAGAACAGCCAGCTTAAAGAACAGTCCTCAGCACCCTGAAACCTGGGATTTCCATGCTCAGAACCTCCTAAGCTCCCTGCAGCTGAGCTACCGAGGCTCTGGGCCTTATGTACCATCAAGCCCTTCCAGGATTTATTACCCTGTTTTTGAGAATAAACTCTGGTCCTGCCTGGGAACACATCTTTGCAGGGTCTCCCCCCATGACACACACCAGTCTGTGGGTGTTGTGATGCACCAGCTGGAAACAGCACCCACTCACCCTGCTGTTATTTTATGGTGCTGACACATCCAAATCACCTTTAGCAAACAGACAGAGGGAAAAAAAAGACACAGATATCATACAGCCTTCACATTTCCCTTATTTTTCACGTGGCATCTGAATCTCCAGCACTTCTGATTCCCTGGTTATCTTTTCAAGGAAAAAAAAACAAACAAAAGTAAATATTATGGCGAAAAATACTCACCCAGTGTGGCTTGGGGCAGTCAACTTGTCTTGCATGAAGGGTTCTTCAGTGACAAACCTGGAGTATCTGAATTGGTTGTTAATAATTCGGAGTATCTGAACCGGTTGCTAAATCATCTTGACGTCGCATGTGCAAGATATTTCTCCTGCCAGACTTGGTTCCTTCTCTTAGGTCCAGCTTGGTGACCACTTTCACAAGCAAGAGGAAGTAGATTAACAAATCAGAATGTGGAAGGGCTGCAACAGAGAGGTCACAACAACAGCAGGAGCATCCTGGCTGAGAGGAGATGATGGGGATGCAGCAGCTTCAGGAAAAAACACCTCACAGGTACAAACTGGCTCAGCCCCTGCCCTTCCACCGTGGCAGAACAACCTGACCAGTCACTATGTGGGAAGGCAAGGATGGAGAGGTGCCTGGCACACAACCTGTGCTCCCCCCTGGTTTGTTTTGGGCGATCAGAGCTGGTTAGAGAACCATCCTTGCTGCAGGATCTTGTCCTGATGAGGCATCACTGAGTAACTTTGTTGGACTTTAGTACTGGTGCTGCCAGGAGCCCCAGCCCAGCAGGCACCTCATGGGCTAAAGGACCCCTGTTCACACCCCTGTCACAGCTGTTCCCTTCAGAAACACCCCCCAGCCACTGATTCAATCCCCTGCACACCCCCCAGGCCCTCGGAGAGCCCGTTTTCACCCTTCCTCTTTCTCTGAAACACCAAAGCAACTCCTGTTCTCCATTCCAGTATCAGTGGCTTTCATGGCACACCAAGGGATTTCCACATGGGTGACAGAGCAAGAGAAAGCTCAGCCTCACTCAGGCTGCACATCACTCAGTGCAGAGTCTGCCTCCGAGGGGGCACTTCAGCTCTGCACCAGAAAGGTTTGCCCAGGGTCCAGCCTGTTCTTTGCAAAGGAGTCCCAGCTGAAGGCAAACACTTTGCAGCAAACAAGTCTTTCATTTTCCCCAAGAACTTGCGTGATGTGTGACCTCTGAGAGTGGAACAACAAAGCCACTTCCTCCAGGCTGCATAATCCCACCAGCAGCCTTTCTCAGGAAACTTCTGGCCCACAGAGGCATTGTGTCACCAGGAAGCACAAACATTTTAAATATTACTTTATAGTAGGCAGGAGAAAAATGTATTTCTCCATCTGGAGATGCAAATCTACAGCTGACCTGCTTCTCAGTCAGGAACCTCACACACCTGAAACCTGCAGCCACCAGAGAGCTGCCAAAGGGGGGACTCGGTACCTGTTCCCTTTTGGGTTAAATCTGTTCCCTTTACCCATCACCACAAGACAATTTTTATACCCAAGCAGCAACTCAGGGCGGCAGTTTTATGAGTTCAATTATATTTAACCAAATAAAGTTATCCACGGGCCAAAATGAAATAAAGCAGTTTATTCGTAATGGCACATCAATATCAGCAGTAAAATTGCACCACACCTGTAAAAGGAGAATATTTGACCAGTGTCACACAGGGGAAGGAAGCAGCAAACAGCAGCTCTTTAGGGATTCAGCAGACACGGATTCCACTGCTCTTTGTCATTCATTAAGGGACAAGGTTGGTGAAAGAGGAAATGCTCTTCCTTCAGGGGAAGCAATGCTGCATGATTGGCCATTTCCCTAAAATGGTACCCAGGAGAGGAAGAAAACAACTACTGCAAACAGAACAATGGTTTGGGCAGTGCTCGAGTCCATGGTTGAGGTAGATGGGGTTGTGTGTCCCCAGATACAGAGTCCCCATTTGCACTTCTGATTAAAAAAAAAGGTTTGTTTTCTATGAATTGTGCTTCACCTCTACAAGGAGAAGGAGATGTAGCCAGTGATGCAGCTGATTAAACCAACAAATAGTCAAAAAGCAGTAGGTTCTCTTCACTCCCAGGATAGCAGATAACCCTTCATCAAACAGGTTTGAGCATCAGCAAATACATTCCAAAAAAACTGAGAATAAACGTCACCAGTCCCCGAAGATGAGCAGCCTAGAGAACTCTGGAGCAGCCTGTCCTTCAGGAAATTCCGTTTCAAGGGCTCAGGAAAGGAGGGATGTCACCAGAAAGTCAAAAAATTTGCAAGTGAACCAAGACACGATGGCAGGGGGCTGGGAGGACACAGCCTGTGCAGCTGCAGGCACTGAGGCTTCTGTAGGCACTGCACAAGTGAACTGAAGAGATTTCCTTTTTCCCCAATAAATTAGAAGGATTTTTAAAAAATCATTATTAAATAGAAGTGAATTATCCCAGCAGCATCGTTCTTCCAATCTACCAAGAGCAGAGCACATCCTTCCACCTGCACTGGTTATCCAGCAGCCTTCGGAAGTACCTGGCCCTGATTTTCAGTGCTGCCATTTTGTTCTCTCTCCACAGATTCAGCCTTTCATCAGTATAGATCTTCCTCATCCGTGTCCTAAACAGGGAGCATGGGGAGAAAAATTGAGACTGTGTGTGAGTACATGAGTCAAGTCATGAGTTCAGCAGAATGCTGAGCCTGCTGGGCTTCTGACAAGAGCCTGAACGCTTCCCAAAGTGCTGCTGTGCTTGAGCAGGTCAGAGGACTGGCACAAACACTGGTAAAAATCTATGTAAATGTATATATATGTATGTATAAGCACTTGCAGCTGAATCTGTTTGACTCCTCACAGACACACAGACCAGCCACCACAACATAACCAGCACATCAAGTGTGTTTGAAGAGAAGCAGCAGCTAAAGTTCAAACCAAAGATGAGCCATAAAGTGCAGCACAAAGCAAAAGCACCACCAATCCCTGCAGAGAGCAGCACAAATTATTGTTTTTTTCAGCTACAGCAACCACTTATTTTCAGAGCCCAGTCATCTGTAATTCCAACCACAGGAGACATTTGCTGGCGTCCCCTCGAGCCAGATCTGCAGCTCCCAGCTCTGAACTCACTCAAACTCCTCAGCTCTACAGGGGAAATCTCACTGACTCTCCAGTCACTTTGAGCCCAAAGAGGTTTTTCAATGGCTTTGCAATTTCAGTTGTTTGGTAACACATTAAGCATGAAAAAGCACATTACAGAAACCTCAAAAATGCAGAATCATTAAGGTGAGTGCAGCAGGATTCTCAGCCACCTGATCAGACAAGTATTTCAATATCAGAGCAGAGAATCAAATCAGACAAAATCCTCAGCGTGAGAGCAGCAGGATTATATCACTTCAATTTGACTCCTCTCAAAGGATGAGAAGACATTTTTCAACTTTTGAGATCTCCCACTGCCTGACAGCATTTCTGTCACCAAGCTGGGGCTCCATCCTTTCCCATCTCTCCACCTGGTCCCTCCCTGCTTCCCAGCATGGCACCTTTCCACCTCTAAGGCCACTTCCCCTTTGGCACAAAGCATTTCCTACTTTCTGCACCTCTCCAAACCCTTGTTCCCAACACTGCTGGCTTGTAACTGCTGTGTCTTATGTAGAAATGTAAATATTTAATATTTAACTTACATAATTGCTTGTTTTCCATTCTGTATCTAACAGAAACCATCAGCACACGCCTGTCTGAAGGCTCATGCATTTAGGACATTTTAAATCGCTGGCATTAGAATAGTGAATGAAGCAACACATATTTAAATACTCCTTAGCATATGTCCTGACTGTGTATAAGAGATGTAAAGGTGCCTCGGGTCAGTTTGCTCTACAGGACACCGTGGAAAAAAAATGAAAACACGCAAATTACTCTGGAATGTGCCACACTGGTGGCTGTGGCTGCTGATCCCAGCACACAGCACTCACACAAAACAAGGACAGCAGGTGGCAAAACCACTCAGTACTGTCAGCACAAGGCTCCTGATTCACAGGAGCTGCTCATGGGTAGGAAGGAAACCAGCAGAGTTAGGAGACAACAACACACAACAAGGCACAACAAACAAAAAGCCACAAAGAAACAAACAAACCACAGGGGTTTAGAAACATTCTGTTGCAATGTAAACAGGGTGAAAGGAGGAAGGTCTCCAGAAGAGCAGCAGGGCTGCACCTCCTCTGCAAGGAGCACAGGGCATCGGGGTGTCCCTGCCTCCCTTCCCCACCACAGCACTGCCAGCCCCCAGGCTGGTCCTGCAGGGCCTTCAGAGAAACTACACAGCAGCTTGCACTTAAATTCTGGTTTTTCATCTTAAAGCCACAGCTTTGGTTTCAATTAAGTCACATGAAAAATCAATTTGGTGCGTCTCGAGACAAAACAAGGAGCTTAAGCCCAGCTGTTTGGGACACCTCCTGGACATCCAGAGGGGTTATGACAAGCTCCACCTCCTTAGCACCTCCTGTGAACATCAAATTTGGCAAAACCACAGTGAAAACACCAGCTTTCACTTACCACACAGTTCAGACACCACGCCCTGAGTTTCCCGGAGCAGCCCGTGCTCTCTGTCTGCTCAGGCCTGCAGAAAAGGCATGGGATTAGGTTGGACTCTTCCTCCCAAAACACACTGATAAGTCCTACAGGCTCTGAATTCTATTTACACCACACGGAATCAAAGGTTTTTTCATCGTGATGAAAAGCCTTTGATTCTGCACAGCAAAACCGAAGAGAATAAAGGTTGTCAGGCCCCTCATTCTGAAGGCAGATATTTCATGTCAGTGCCACGAAGAAGAAAACAAGAGCTGCTATTTGGCTGGGGAATCTCAAAATTCCAATCAGAACACTGGAACAAAGCAGTAAAACCTCACTCTGCAGTGGATTGCAGTCCTGGATTCATGGCAAAGCCAGGTGCAGCTCCTGCAGCAGCACTGTTACCTGGCTGTTCTCACTACTGACCCTTCCAGAGCGGAATCCTCTCCAGTGCAGAGGGGAATTCAGTCTCCAAGGCTCCTTCAGTACCTGGCACCTCTGCTCAGGCCACCACAGGGGAACCAGGTAGCATTATTGGGTCTGTTCTGATGTTATGGACACTTCATACCAAAATGCAACACATAAAGCCCACGTAGGCAAAATCTCTTGCTGACTCAGGCCGAAATAAATCCCATTACAGAAGTGAAAGACTGGCTAACCCTGAACTGCTTCTGTTCCACGGCTCACACGAATGACAGAAAAAGGGGATGTACAGCACGTGATTCATGCCCCAGCCTGGGGATCTCCCAAAGCTTTCTGAGTGCTGAATGGTGCCCATGGAGAAGCAGAACCAGTGACTGAACCACAGACACTGAGCGCTGTGTGACAAAGGACAGTGGAGGAACCATCCTCTGGCCTGTGCTGACAGGCCAGAGTGGAAGGACAGGCTTTGGGCTGCAGCCAGAACTTACTCATCAGACACCTCGATGGAAGACTTCTTGTAGCCACCTTTCTTTTTCTCCTTCAGCACTCTGAATTTCCTTCCCATCCTCACCAGCAGCAGAACGACCACGACGGTGGAAGGGAGAAACACGGACAAGGAGAGCAGGGCCGCCGAGGTCAGCCGGAAGGAGAGGCCTGCGGGGAGACACCGGCATTCCAGCAGTGAAACACAGGGAAAGAAAGGGAGACAGAGCCTTCCCCAGCCTCTGGGACAAACAGAGGACACAGCTCGGTGGCCTCCTCACGTGAAGCACAGCGCTGGCAGATTGCAGACAGCCCTCTCTGCCACCAAATCCGTGGGACTCCTGTCACAAACCCAGCCCAGGCGGGAGCTTTAGATGCAGAGAACTACAAAGGAAGGCAGGTCACGACACAGTTCCATCAGCACGCCTGAGCTGCAGATTTGGGGCAGGTCTGGCACGCAGGGCAGATGAGGAATTGAGTGTTACTGACAGTCAGTGCTTGTGATGTGGGTGTTATTTTTAGGCCAATATTTCCTCATCGTTTAACTTGTTCCACTGCAATATGGGGAGGCTGAAAGTGCTGAGCAAAGGGGACACTTTTGATTTTGGTTATCACCACAGCTCCCTCTGTCCCCTCCTGCCCCAAATAAATTCAATAGCTCTCAATGTATTGAGCTGAGAAGGCAGGGCTGAGGTAACTCTTGCTGAAAGTTTGACATGGAACTCCAGGGAACATTTTCCATGTGATGCTCAGACTCCCAGGATCCCGACAAAGCCACAGTGCAGCTCTGTCCCACAGATGAGGCCAAGCCATGGAAATGGAGCCTTACCCCTCTCTGTAACCTCCAGCACAGTCTGGGGGATGCTGTGGTACACGTCCGGAGGATTCTTCACACTGCAGAAGAACGTCCCATTGTCACTCAGCTCGGGGCTCCGGAGAGCAATGGAAGCGTCACCGCTGGCAACATTCCCGACCCAGGATATCCTGTCTTTGAACTTTCCCACTGTTGTTGGGTACGGAACGGACTGGTAATGGAAAACCTAAAAGGAGGCAAAGGCAATAGTTGTGCCAATAAAACACTCGTCCAAGAAAGCAAAGAGAAATGCTTTTTTGGACTGAAATCATAAAGGAATACACATTAAGAAGTCAGAAAGAATACTTCCTATGCAAGAGAAATAAAGCTACCAATCAGATCTTTACAGTCATACTATGGCTACAGTGCACAATGCAGCACTTGTAGCAACCCCCAAAACTCATCTGCTTTATCATCATTATGCTATTTTGCATTTATGTAGAATATTTTCCCCCAAAGAACACCAAAGGAATTTCACATGGGACAGAAAGTGACAATGAGTCCCAAACCACAAAGTGATGCAGCAGCTCAGTAAAGCAAACAGAAAATTCAGATTTTCAGCAAGCACAGAGGCCTGGTCAGACTCCCTGTTCCACTTACTGTCTCCATCGGGCCCCCAGCGAGGGGTCGGTATGTCCAGTACACCACGAGGCTCTCAGTGATGGGGGAGCTGGATTTGAAGGAGCATTTCAGCAGGGCTTGCTCACCCACGACAGCCGTCATTTTAGGATTGGCTTTAATTTCCAGGGAAAGAGCCTTGCAGACACCTGATGGAACAGGCACAAAAGGCAAGGATTAAGTTACCAGCGAGGCACAGGAGTGTTGATGTCCCAAAAGTATCAACACACGTACAGGTCAACAACAATTCAAAGGCTAAAGCAGGGCAATAATGACATCCTCCACAACGAAATTTGAAGGAAAGCAGACAACGCCCATGACCTACTCTCTGCAGGGCTGGAGCCTGCTTATATTTAGATGTGGAGATAAAGAGCTGAGAAATGGGATCAGATGCCTCTCTGACGAGTTCCAAAGTCCCAGCTTTAGGTGCTTTACTTTAAGGCAATTTACTTTAAGGCAATTTTGGCTCTGTGTGTCTTGCCACAGCCCCTGAATTCCACGTGCACCGGGGTCAGGAGTCACCCCGCAGCAATAAGTGCTCTCAGTTCTCGTTTCCAGCGTGTGCAGTCCCTCCTGCCCGGCTCACCCGCTGCGGGTTTCGGTCCGCACAGCGCTCAGCGGAGCATCGCTCACCTCCTGCCCTTCCCAAACCTCCCGCTCCCGGCTCAGGAAGGAGGAGACGGGAACACTGGGCAGGAAGTTCTGCCCTGATGGTCGCACCTTATTCCGCTGCTGGGCGGGCTCCGAAGGAGCAGGAACGGGTTTATAATTCCCCGCCGCTTCCAGCGCCCCGCACGGTGCGGCCGGAGCCACCCGCGGCCACCCCCGTCCCGGGACGGTCCTTCCCGAGCCCCCCACCGCCCCATGGACCATCCCCCGCCCCCGGACGGCCCTTCCCGAGCCTCCCACCATCCCCCGGAGCACCCACCGCCCCGAGACAGCCCTTCCCGAACCTCCCACCGGCTCCACGGACCATCCACCGCCCCCCGGAGCATCCGCTGCCCTCGGAGCCGCATCCCGGGCGCTCCCCGCCCGGTTCCCACGCGGGACCCCCCCCTTTCCCCGGCCGGACCCCGGGCAGCGCTACTCCCGTCCCGTCCCGTCCCAGTCCATCCCATCCCGTCCCGTCCCAGTCCATCCCGTCCCGTCCCATCCCAGCCCCCGGAGCGCCCCGGTACCGAGCAGCAGCAGCAGGACCCCCCGCGGGAGGAGGCAGCCGGTGGCCCCCGGGAGCCGCATCCCTGCTGGGCTCAGCCCCGGAACATGGCGCTCACCTGGCGCAGGTGAGGGCGGGGCAGCCCCAAAATGGCCGCCCCACCTGGGCACACCTGGGGCGGCCGCGCGGCCGATCCGGGGGCTGAGCGGAGGGTCCGGACACCCCGAACTCCCCAGCCCCGTGTCGGGGTCGGCCCCTAAATGCCTCTTCGGCACTTTTTGGGTGCAAACCCGCTCGTTTGAGGTGCCTGGAGCCGGGGGGGGTCCCGGGTCACAGCCCCCCTCCTCACCATCGAGGCTCTCAGCAAAGTGCCTTTATTTGTGACACAGGTGGTTGAAAATGCGAACACCCAGACAGGTAACGTGGCCAGCACGTTACAGGTTATAAAGCCATAAAGGCACTCTTCAAACAAACAGGGCTCTGTTTTGATTTGGGGCTCGTTAAATATCACAACAGGTTTCACCTGGGGCTGGTTAAAAACCGTTACAGCTCTGCAGGATTCACCAGCTGGAGCCTCCTTTGCCTTAATTAAGCCTGTGTGAGTACAGGGCATGGGCTGAGCGAGTGCAAGTGTGGGGGTCACCTGGGCAATGAACAGCACTTGGAAGAAGTGGGATATTGCTGCTGTTGTTGGAATCCCAATCCCCTTCTGCTGCAGCACCAGACTGAGTGGGACCTCACACCACCAAGCATCACCTGCTCAGGGATGTCTCTGAGCTCAGAGACACTGCTAGAAAAAATTCTGGGGTGCCTGTGACAGTGGGTGTAAGGCTGCTGAGTGGGGGAAAGAAACATCCTGGCTTAGAGAGAAAGGGTGAGGGGGCTGGAGCTAAAGGGAACATGGGGCAGTGCTGGGAGTGGGAGAAGGAAAAGGAGGGGAGCCACAGAAGGCAGTGACCTCAACCCCCCCAGAGTTACAAAAGCCCCCAAAGCTGCAAGAGATGGATGTGGAAACCACACTGACTGGTGAATGTTACCCTAATAACAAACAGCACACATTGCCCAGCTCTAACACAGTCCATTTAAAGTAAAAAAAGAGATTTAAAGTACACTTGTTGAAGCAACTGGCTGCTCCTCTGCTCCCTCTCCGGTCAGTCTCTGTGTTCGTGATGCCAGGGAGGATCTCAGGGGAGGAAAAACAGGGCAACACAAAGGCACGTTGTGATTTTTAAGGTGCAAGAGTGCATCTGCTCAAACACTTCCAAATCCTCGCTCAGTCAGACATCCTGGTGCTTTGTTCAAATCTTTTGGCATTTTTTCATCTCCAGAGCAACTTTCTTCACATTCTGCGGGTGTGAAGGTGAAGTTCCTCGTTCGTGGGGCAAGTTCCTCCTGCTTTGCTTTGCTGAAGGGAATTCACAACTCGTGCAGTGTCACCCTCTTTCCTTGCCAGACTTTCAGGTGGAGCAGAGGTACCACACTCACAGCGTGGGGCGTCTGTAATTCGCCTTTGTTCTAACAACCCAAATTACAAGCTTTCACCATCTGCTTTGGAAGTACCTAAGAAGAAAGGTTATAAGAAAAACAAACATTCATTACTCAGGGTTATTGCTGAAAACAAAAATAATGGAGGCAACTGCTGACCTCAGAAACCGAGCGGGTAAAAGTTACCCTGAAATGTTTAAGCAAAGCCAGCAAATATGGAAACAGCTCCAGTCTTCCTGCAGCAGTTTTTAAACAATAGAGATTAAATGAGTAAAAAAGCAGCATTCAAAACTGGCAAAAGGAAATTAATTCATTCCTCTTTATCCACAAAGCAGGAATGCCATGGGAAGCAGCGACAACAGCTTTCCTACAAATGATCCTCGACACTAGGGAGGAGAAATCTCTTGTACATTTAAGAGGCAGCTTCTCTCCACTCCCTTTTCAGCTCTGAGTCTCTCCTGAAGGATCCCCAACAGCAAAGTGTTACTGTGGCCTCAGCTCTTTCTGCTTATGGCCCCCATGGCCTGTTGACTGGAATAGCAGTGAAATACCTGAGGAAATCTGTCTTAGAAAGTCTCCAATAACACCAAGACACTAATTAGAGATGGATACCTGCATTGTATACACCAATTAGACCTTTAGTCTTCTAATGGACTGGCTTCCTTTTCTTCTCTCATCTTCAGGCTCTCCTTTTCTTTACTGTTATTAAAAGAAAGGGGGGAAAAAAAGAAAAAAAGCCCAACTGAGTGTCAGATACCCTGAGCAGCAGGACCTGAGTCACACATGGCACAGATAAGGGGTCACATGGTGAGATGGGTGTGTTACACGTATGGTGACCACAGTGCCAGGCCCAGGGGACAGGGATCACCTGCCAAATACCACCACAGGAATGAGGAGCCACTATGAAGGGCAAGAGCCAAGGGAGGACTGCAAAGCTGGTTCATCCTGGGGCTCTGCTCTGCCTGCAAACACGCAGCCAATTGCTGCTAATTGTGTTGGCAGCTTTGCATTGTAGATGCCCAGTGCAGGGGCCAAGCCAGTAATTCCATTTGACAAGCTTTCCCAGGAGCCCTTCCCTCCCTCCTCTGTCCTTACAGTTCAGTGTCTGACGCCCCAGTCCTCTTGTCCTGCGCTTTCTGGCGTCGCTGTCGACAGATAATCACAGCTAACACCACCACGATCATCAGGACAGAAGCAGATCCGACGGCCACGGCCAGGAAATGGATTTCTGAGAAACTCACTGCGTGGAGAGAGACAGGGACATGAACCAGAGGGACACAGGGGGGGCTGTGGCAGGAGGAATGAAGCTGGGAACCTCCATCTGTGAACAGAACCTTTCCTTGGGCTCCTTTTTTCCCCTGTATCCGTTAACCACCCTCCTGCTTTACACTTACAACCCTTTTTTCTACCATAGTTTTCCCAAACTGGGAACTGGTGAAGTTCACAAGACCTCTGGGGGTGGTTCTTGGCCTCTCACCTTTCTGCACGACCCGGAGTCGCACTTCCCCGATGGAGCCATAAACATCTGGCCAGTTGGTCACCTGGCAGGTGAAGGTGCCGTTGTCGGTGGGCTGCAGGTTCCAGATGATGATGGACACGTCCTTACGCTCCACATTCCCATCCCAGGTGACCCGGTCCTTGAACCGCCCCGAGGGCGGCTTGTAGGGCTCCTTCAGGTAGTAAAACACCTGCAGGGATCACAGACACACAGAATGGCCTGGGCTGGGGGGGACCTTGGAGATTCCTGTGCCCTGCAAGTCCTGCCGGGTGCAGGGTGTCAGCTAAGACAGGGCTGAGATGTCAGCAAGCACAAATAGTTCATCAGGCCACAAACAGTTCAACCCCCATCACCCAAAACTAAGCATGAGAACGTTCTTCAGCCAGGGTCTATAAACAGACCTCACTGCTCAGGTTAATCGTGACAGGTGACAGAGGAAAGGCCCCAGTGCCCAGAGCTGTGGGTCTCGGGTGTGGGTGCCCATCCCCACTGGGCTCACCCAGTGCTGGGCCTTGGGACTGGTTTGTTGGGGCAAACCAGTTTGAAATGGAGAGTAAAGATCTCAACTCACCGGCTCGTGGGAGCTCAGGTCCTCGGGCTGGAAGTTCCAGGTCACCGAGAGCTGGGGGCTGACGGGGCTGCTGCTGGAGAAGGTGCATTTGAGCCGCTGGTTTGTGCCGTTCACAGCAACCACCTCCTCCGAGGTGTAAACTTCCACTGCTGCTGCCAGCCAAAGTGCTGCGGGGAAAACAGAGGGGTGAGAGGCCATAATCACTGCCGAGGTGTGAACTCATCACTGCTCCTTATCAGTGTGTAGTCTGAGCCTTATCTAGCCCTGGAAATAATTGTCTGGGGCACAGAGATAATTCCTCAGTGGGTGATCCTGCAGATTTCTTGGGAAAATCAGTCCTGCCATTAAAACTGGACTGCTGAGACCCAGCAAACAACGGCTATTTCCCATGCTAGAACTTTCTTTATACACTTTGTACTCTCAGCTCGGTGAAAACTGCTCTTACTGAGGGAGGAAGGGCCTGTTAGAGGGTTAACAGCCCAGCTGGACAACTGCGGTCAAATACAGTCAGGCTGAAGAACTCTAGAGGAAATCCTCAAGGTAAATGTGGCAAAGAAACATCCTCTGTTAACCAAACCAGCACAGTTGCTGCTTCAAAAATAAGTGTGCCAGCAAGGCACAGAAAGGAGGAAAATGAAAAATAGGAAAACCAAAGGAGTTCCGGTGAAAAAGAAAAAAATTATTAATCATTTCCTGTCACTTTAGGAAGTTAACTTGCCCCTGTATGATCCAAGCCAAAAAAGCTTATCTAAGGTTGTAAAATCTGGCTTTATAATAAAGACGTATTTGAAAGTAATTTATAACCAAAGACTTCCTTCCAAATAATCTCTTATCTCAAAGGGAGAAATATTTTGAAAACATTAAAGGTATTCGCATTTGAAAAGCTTCACTGGCAGAGATCATGTTTCTCATCCAAAGATTCAGTGCCAAATCTTTTAAACTCCTTTAAAAAAGAAAAACTGTGGGAAATAAGACTAAAGTACTTTTTTTTCAAGACAGATTACATCCGTGAGCTGATGCATTTGGGAAAGGAGGACATCCTATTCTTAAAATCCAGTGTTCTGATATAAACCACTGAAAATTCAAGCGAGTTTACTGTCAGTCTGGAATTGTTGCTGTGTAAAGGATCCGAACCTGGGGCTCCTGAACAATCTCTGATTGTTTAGGAACAAAGGTAGCAAAAAAAAAAAAAAAGTCTTGGACTAAAGTTCAGATTCCCGGTAGGAGAGAAAAAGAAAGACGTCGTAACCCGAGCTGAGGAGGAGCTCGAACACGCCTAAACCTGTCCGAGAAGAGACTCAACCACTTCGTGTCACTGCCAGCGAACCCCGGACAGAAAGAACCGCAGCACAAGGACGGGAGAAAAGTCTCTGCCTTCTAATGTAAGGGATGGGAAGAGGAGAGGCAGGATGGCAGCGAGGCCAGGCAGGGCAGGTTTCCTTTCCTTACCTGGGAGCTGCGCCCCGAGGACGAGCACAGCACCCGCCCAGGCGCGGCCGCGCATCGGGGACACCCGTCCGTGCTCCCGTGCCAAGAGAAATTCCCTTCTGCTTCTCGAAAACTGGGTGGAGGATGAGTTTCTCAAAGTCTTCCCAGCACAGCAAGGCCAATTCCTTCCTCCCAGCTTGGCCTGCAAGGCCAAGGGTGCTCTCAGTGCTGGAGTCAGCACTGCCTGCCCGGGCACCGTGGGAAGGTGTGGCAGCACCAGGCACTTCTGGGTGTAAAACAGGGAGATTCTCAGGGTAAGATTAATTTCTTCTCCCTCCCATATTCCTTTGCTCTTTTGTGTTGCAACCTTTCCTCCTCCCAGCTTCCACCTGAAACCACTCCCCTCCTGTGGGAGGTAGCTGTGCTCCTAAAAGAAAATTTGCCCGAAGGTGTTTGTAGATGACTCAAAGGAATGAGGGCCATTTGTTTGGCAAAAAAACCCAAACCTGCAAAGAGTCCAAAAAGAGCAACCTGAACCAGACTGTGGCAGCAGTGTGGGCACAAATCCAGAGGATGGAAGTGTCCCACAGATACCTCCAGTACAGCACAGAGACTCTTGTGCCTGCTAACACGCCTCTGCTAATGGCTCTGAGACACCAAGTATCTCTGTTTTCACGGGAATAATTTGGCCCTGTATTAACCCTTTATCACTGCATCTCCCCAGATTTCCATTCAGTTGCCATTCCAAAACATCATCTCCTTCTCTTCCATTGCCACCCTGGATAAATATCAGGCTGGGGGGTTGTTCTGGTTGTGTTTAGAGCACTGCAAGGCAGCTCCTTAGCAGCCAATTTGCATTCACTTCCTATTTCTGCACAGGACTGGGGAGAGGGTCTGCTCCCATCTTTACTTGCAGACTTTTAATAATCTTCATCTTGTTTCAAACGTGTCCCTCTCACACTCACTAGCAACCTAATTTATCTGATGTCTCATTTTGAAACTGAAATAACTAAAAGAAAGCTCTGACAACCAAAGAGAGCACCCCAATAAATGAAACAGGGCCCACGACACTGGGATTAGCCATGTCAGTAAATGGTGAATTCCTGGGAAGGAGTGAGGAGCCAGCTCCATCCTCCAGGCGTCTGGGAAGGAGTCCCTCGAGGTGTGTGCCAGGTGCAGAACGCAGAGAGCCCTGTGGAAGGAGAGAGATCTGGGTGACTTGGAATGTCTGCCCTGGACCTGTGCCCCCAAATCCCCACGATTCTCACCACACTGGAGCAGCTCTGCCTCCTCTGTGGGCTTGGAGCAGAGGGAGCTGGGCAGGCAGAGTGTTCCCGCTGTGTCCATGCCAGCATCCCTGCTGGAAAGGGAAATTCCTTCGGGTTCTCGGGAACGAGATGAAAGACGAGTTTCTCAAAATCTTCCCAGCGCAGCAGAGGAGCTCTGAGATCCCCCTGCCCCGGTGCCATGGGCGGTCTGTGCCTGCCCCCAGCCCGGGTCTGGAGGGATCGTCCCCTCCTTGCAGTCCTGGCCGGGGCAGGAGCCCCCTCTAGTGGGGCCCGGCCACTTCCACGCGGAAAGAGAGGAGGTTCAGATTAGATATTAGGAAGAGATTCCTTCCTGTGAGGTTGGTGAGGCCCTGGCACAGGTTGCCCAGAGAAGCTGTGTCTGTCCCATCCCTGGAAGTGCCCAAGGCCAGATTGGACAGGGCTTGGAGCAACCTGGGCTAGTGGAAGGTGTCCCTGCCCATGGCAGGGGGTGGGACTGGACGGTCTTTACAGTCCCTTCGAACCCAAACCATTCCATGGCTCTTTGTGGAGTTGTTTGCAGCAGCCTGAACTGCAGAGACACTCACTCCCAAAAGCTGCCAGAAAGGTCCTGATGGCAAATCTAATCCTGGCTCGTTCCTCCTGCTGCTCCCAGAGCAGCTCCAAGAGCTGTCCTAAGACTTGGCCAGGCTGGTGCAGAGCAGCCACCCCTCGCTGGCAGTGACGTCCTGTGCAGACCTTTTGAGCCTCTGCACTTCCTGACCTGGGCTCATTTCCCCACACGTGTCCCGGGGCTGCCTCGGCTGCTCTCCCGTGTCCCTGGGAACGGGGAGTCCCCCCAGCACTGCTGGGGACAATTCTGGGAAAGGATCCTGGGCCCCTTTCCTGTAAGAGGGCCTCGAGAAGCCGCCGTGCCCCGTCGTGCCCCGCAGCGATGCCCGTGTGATGTGGTAGAGAAGAGCAAGACAAGGAGGGACACAAGGATGAGGCTGGAGCCGTCCTGGCCTCTCCTGGGGCTCCTGCTCTGGGCAGGTGAGTCTCCAAACTTCAGGCAGCAGGGTTGGATCTCCAAACTTCAGGCAGCAGGGTTGGAGCTTCGTGCAGTGCGATCTCTGAGGTTCTGTTGTCTTAGTTTCATTTTTATGCTTTATCCACTTCGTGGACTTTTCTTAAACCGTTTTGTGATCATGGGTAACTACTTCAGTTCAGACTTGGTGGGATATCCATTTGTGGTAGCAATTTCCACCTTACCAGTTTGAATGGAGCAGCTGCTTTAGGATGAAGTGCAGAGGATCTGTAAAGATTCTAAAAAAAGCCGGTAACAATGAGATGAGTTTGGAAGATAATTACTTAAGACATACTACAATAAAACTACAACTACTCTGACAATGTGCTGCAAATACCAACTGCTAACCTTTGAGAAGGTAGAAGACATCTGGTTTAGCAATGGCCTGTTCTTTTTTCAAATTTAAATTCACCTATATAAAGAAAAAAGCATCAGATCACCTTCTTTCCAGCCAAGTCCTTTGTCTGTGGCATTTCAAAACTATGATTATTTATTTACCTTACTTTCTATTGACAAACGTCTTTAAAGGAAATCACAAGTCTGATCCACACCTCCTAAAAACGGTTTCTTTAATATTCCAGCTCCAGAGACTCCCATGGAGCTGATTGTTTCCTACAGGACAGAAAAATCACCTAAATAATCTGTTTTACAGTGTTAAATCAAGGGTCAGGGTCCCACCCTCCAGTGAGTTCACAGGGTTCTTACTGCAGAAACGAGGGAGGATTTTCCAGCAGTCTTTGCTCCATGATAATAAGGCACAGTTTGGGGTGTACAGCTTGCAATAAGAACCCTTTTTCTAAACTGGGTCGGAAAATAATTCAAGTTTCCATTTTGTGTTAGTCTGTGTTAAAAATGGCTTCCAAGGGAAAAGGCTTAATTTCAAAACAACATCCTGTGCCACAAACAGAATATTTCTGCTGCCTTTAGCATGAATACAGGATCATAAACATCTCTTTCAAGTAGCTGAGTTCAGAAAGGACACCCTGGAAGTAGGAAAGGTTTATGATATCAGTAGCTAAACTCAACTACTTAACACTTCTTATTCTTTCTTTTGTAGTTGGCACCACAGCTCAGCAGGGTAACTGTATTTTACCATTGTTCTTAACTACTTAGTGTGATCAAAAGACCAAATACGCCTCACAAGGGACTAAAAGTCAAATAGAAATATTTGAATTTTGAAAACATCGTAGAATAGGAAAAATTCACTGTTCATTAATTGATAGTGATCTCACTGATGGAAAAATTGGCTGTCATAAATTGCCCTTAATTATTACCAGTGGTTCCCAAGCAGGGCTGGGCTTTTCCAACAGCAACAAGTTGCTGATTTTTTAACACTCCTTATTCTCTTTGCAGGTGAAGCACAGAAGGATAAATGAATTTTACCAACATTCTTAACTCTATGATATAAAGTCTGCAGAAGCCTCACGGCTGAGGACTAAAAACCAGATCAGAATATTTGAGTTTTCCCCTTGGTTTCCTTTCTCGTAGGCCTGTCTGCCAGTGAAGAATTCCTGGTGGAGATTTCAGGCACCACGGTGACAATCACATGTCCCTTGACCGAGGATGACGTAGTGTGGAAGTCAACTGGGGGAAAAGCAGGCACCAGCAATGAGAGGAAGTACATTATAACAGACCATGACAGCTCTCCTGCCAACCTGAGCTGTTCTTCCGACTCCAGTGGGACGAGGCATGAGCTGTACCTGAATGCCAGAGGTGAGAGAAACTCCCTCAGTCCGTGGGCTAAAGCCTGCATGGCTCAGATTAAATACTTAAAGGCATGTCAAATGGCACCAGACACCTGCATTTAGACAAGCAAATCTGCTGGTTCCACTGTATATTTGAGTCTCCTGGACCACTGTTTTCCTAAGGGAAGTTCCCCATCAGCAGGCTGGGAGGGAAAGGCACTGCCCAGCAGTTTGTGCTGGGAATTGTGCTGCTCTTTAAAACAAAGAGAGAAAACGTGCCAACAAATTAAAAACTGAGCACAAACAGCGAGGAAAAATAAAAACCGAGTGGAAGAGATTACCTGAAAACATAGTAAATTCTTCAGCACTTGGTGCTTTTATGGGAAGACTCCTCTTCCTTCTGACACACTGAGGGTGAACGTGGTGTTGCTGAGACCCTTCCTCATCTGTGAGGGTCTGAGAGCCCATTTTTGGCAAAAGGAATCTCCCCTTTCCTTTCTGCTTGCTCTTTTCTCCTTGCCACCCAGAGCTGTGTCTCTCTGCCAGCACCCAGCAGATGAGGGGGGCCTGGGCTTTTCCTGCTGGGAGGGAAGGCAGCCCAGCTCTGAGCACCTCCATCTCTCCTCCTGGCAGTGTGTGCCAACTGCGAGGAGCTGGATGCCCTGACGGTCACAGGGATCATTGCTGCGGATCTCCTCATCACCCTGGGGGTGCTGATCCTGGTCTACTACTTCAGCAAAGACAGGAAGGGGCGAGCAAGCCCCAGTCCTGCCCCTCGGCCACGAGGTAAGAGCCATTTCAGGCATCTCTGCTCTCCCTGGTGGCCACGGGGCACTACATGAAGCTCCCACTGTGGGAGGGAGCATCCTCTGCTCTCCCTGAGCTTCCAAGACCTCACCAAACAACCTCCTGCTTCCCACACCTGCCTTTGTGCATGGGATGGGAACAGCTGCTTTGCCAAACCTCCTGCCCATAAGAACCTGTTTCCCTGCTGTGCTGGAGCCAACCCTGCATGGCAGATGCTCCTGGCAGCAGTTGGCTCTTTGAAAGCTCTAAGCTCATAATAAAGCCATGCAAGTTGACCTGTGGGTTCGTGGCATTGCCCTGGGATCATCATGGAAGTCCCTCGTGCTGTGTTACCTGAATCATCCCAGGGATCACCTCTCTGTGCCTCTGTTGCAGGTCAGAAGATGCAGCGTCCTCCCCCCGTTCCAAACCCAGACTATGAGGTATGGAGTGTTTTCCATCTCTCTGCTGGCTGGGGAGGGAGAGCAAAGTCTGAGAATTGGT